AAGCAACTTCTTGAAATAATCGATTGACAATGATATGCTATAATCAAACAATCTATGAGTAGCTCATGCCCTTGGCTGTACTTCAGCAGCAGAAATTCATAGGTTTTGACAACTCTGTATCGTTTTCCCCAATCATAAAGAAAATCAAGGAATTATCACCAGCTACTAAGTACCAGGAAATAAAAATTCAATCTTTTCGAGGATATTCAAGCTATTCAACATTGGAAAATTCTTGAAATACTACCACATAATAGAACAGAGGGAGAAAAATCTATCACCCTGAAAACCATAGAACTCTCCGTGAAGCTAGCATATGGAGTCCTGAACTAGCTGCCGCTTGTGAAGGATGTTTGACTGAAATATGTGGAGAATTGGAGATGATAACATTTATGGATAGTTAGTTATTGAAATCTTTGTTATATAGACTATATATGAAAGCTCGATCGAGTGAATGTAACATGGTCGATAGTTAGTGTAGTTAGTGCTTTGTGGAGTAAAAATTTTTTGTCACAGCTAAGAGATAAAAATACTGCCAAGTGACAGTGATGTGTAATAGTCAAGTGGTTTTGGACAGAGTTGGAATCAAAATTGGCATCTACTGAAATTATTGAATTACAATTCAGTCCAAGGAAATGAGCCCCACACCAACGACTTTTCATCAGGGAAAGAACAAATTTTTCTTTATAGAATTTGATGAAATCACATGATTATCAAGGAAAGAAAAGATTTTTCGTTTATAAAATTTGATGAATCACATGAATTTCTTGGCCTAAGCATCCGCACACCAATATAATCACTCTCTCAATCACAATTCACACACTAGATGAGATAAAGAAACAAAAAAAAAAAAAAAAAAAATCATTAAAATGGAAGAAGATGCGTCCTCACTCACCTCACCACTCGTTGGAATCGGAGGAAAAATCGCAGATGAAAATAATTGGTCTTTTGATGGAAAAGAAGCAACGTTAGAGGAGCTGAAAAAGCAGCTATGGCTAGCTGGGCCCATGATTTCTGTTTCACTTTTGCAGTACTGTTTGCAGCTAATATCAGTTATGTTTGTGGGGCATTTAGGGGAATTGGCTCTTTCAGGTGCCTCAATGGCCACCTCATTTGCAACCGTCACCGGCTTCAGCTTAATGGTAAGAGCCTCACCCTTCAATTCTTTAATATATGCTTCCTGTTCAATTTAACACAAAATTTTTTGTGAGCAGTCTAACAGTTAGGCGGGTAGCCTGTCATACACAATCTCTATGTTATTTTCTACATTATAACATCTTATAGTGAAAGTTTACATGTTTGTGCGAAAAGCGTACGGTCGAACGGTCTTTGGAAAATCCTGTTTTCAAGATAAAAATGTCGAAGCTTATAGTGAAAGTTTACATGTTCTTCTCAAATACTATGGCCAACCAAATACATGCATGCTACAATATACTTTCACTATATTTAATTCAGGAATAATATCATTGTTGGTACCCGAAGTACGGTGAAATTTCAGCATTCATACTAAAAGTGACTAGCAAAAACAAAGATGAATTTGTAAAATCAGAACTCAATTTCCATAAAGATTAACGTGACAGTTTTGTAGATTTGAATATGCTGCAGCAGCTCCATCTGCCAATAGGGCCCAATTACTGATGAATTGAAAGTCTTTTCAAAAGCTTGGGTACCGCTAAATTCGAAAGCAGCTAAAGGATGAGTACTAATCTTGAAATTTAACCATACTTTGAGAATTAGCTCATTATTTCAGACCAGAGTTGATTTTTTCATTTCTTTTTTGTTGCTTTCTTGTTGGAATCTTGAACTTAGATGGGAATGGCAAGTGCATTGGACACATTATGTGGGCAGTCATATGGAGCCAAGCAATATCACATGCTAGGCATACACATGCAGAGAGCCATGTTTGTACTCTTACTCGTTTGCATGCCACTTGCCTTCATCTGGGCAAACACAGGCACAATCCTAACCGCATTAGGCCAAAATCCTCAAATATCGAAAGAAGCAGGACTTTACGCCCGTTTCATGATTCCCGCTATTTTCGCGTACGCCCTTTTGCAATGCCAAGTCAAGTTCTTGCAGACGCAGAATATTGTCTTCCCCATGATGATAAGCTCGGGTATTGTAGTTGTGCTGCACTTGCTTTTGTGTTGGGCTCTTGTTTTGAAATCTGGGCTCGGCAGCAGAGGAGCGGCTGTGGCGAATTCCCTCTCTTATTGGATGAATGTTGTGCTGATGTTGATTTATATTACGTTTTCGCCTTCGTGTGCCAAAACTTGGACCGGTTTTTCGAAAGAGTCTTTGCGTAATGTTGTTAGTTTTATTAGGCTCGCAGTTCCTTCTGCAGTCATGATCTGGTAAGCATGCAAATTCGCTTTCCCTTTCAATTTTTACGATTATTTTTTGTTAGTTCCAACTTTTTTGTGATTTGAACAGCTTGGAGGCATGGTCTTTTGAGATGATAGTTCTACTTTCCGGTCTCCTTCCGAATCCCGAGTTAGAAACATCTGTGCTTTCTATCTGGTTAGTACTTTGTGGCGAGTTTTGATTGATTGCTTGAAAGAAAAAAAATCAGTATCGTGCTAACTGCATGTCGCGTGTTCTATCTCCAGCCTTAATACAGCTGCCACAGTTTGGATGATCCCATTTGGACTCAGTTGTGCTGTTAGGTGAGTCGTGCTCCTAGTTTTAATTTTTCATTTTCTTAAATCTCTCGTTTTTTCTTTTTTCTTTTTTTCTTTGAAAATGTGGCTTTAATTTCAATGCAGCACGCGAGTTTCAAATGAACTGGGGGCAGGGCATTCTCTGGCAGCTCGATTGGCTGTACATGTGGTCTTATTCATTGCCATTAGTGAGGGAATTTTAGTGGGATTGGTTTTGATATTAATACGAAACATATGGGGATATGCTTACAGTAATGAAATAGAAGTCGTTACGTATGTAGCCACAATGATGCCGATTCTAGCCTTGTCGAACTTCATGGATGGACTTCAGAGTGTTCTTTCAGGTACATATATCTCCATAACAAATAACAAGCTCTAACGATTGTGATGTCGATAATAAATTAATATGTATAGGAATCGTTAGAGGAAGCGGGTGGCAGAAAATCGGAGCTTTTATAAACCTAGGATCGTATTATCTTGTGGGTATTCCAGTGGCAATCTTGTTAGCCTTTGTTCTACACATAGGAGGAAAGGTAAAAACAACT